GTTATCTGTCAATGTCATAAAAATCTGCATTAGTAACAGCAAGCATTTGATCTGTAATGATGGATAAAACAATCCAAGGGTCTTGGAAGTGTTTGGAAGAGATAGCTGAGGAGCAGCCGGGAAACCAAAAAATGGAAAATTGGTTTGCATCATCTCCAAAAGACCTTATAGAGAAAGAGGCATATTTGTGTGGGGATTTGTGTGTATTCACAGAGATTCAAGTCAGTCCACGCACAGACAATCACAGCAGGTCCCTTTTTCATCTCAGCACAGGGCAGAGATTCAAAAGCACCAAAATTCTTCCTCTGGAGGATGGGGAGGTTGCACTGTGATGGGGAAGTCTGTACTCCCACTACCCCGTCCATGTCTGCACCAAGAGCCAAAATTCACCTGAATGAGGCCTTGCCAAGAGGGGCTTGAAGCTGAGCTGCCACAGGCCTTTCAAGACTGCCAAGGTCCGCAGCAGTCTCACAGCTCGGAGATGGAGTGCCAGGACAGGGACTTTGCCGACCTCCCTGTGGAGTCGTGCTCTGGGCTCTGTGCAATGAGCACATGTGAGTGGTGGGGCAGTTTGAAAAGCTGTTTGAGCAGTTGCATCTTGAGCCAACAGAATTATTTTCTGTAGCGGATTGTGCTCCTCTAGATGGCACTCGAAGCTGTGTTTTCACTGATTTGGGGATGGTGGGTATTGCGGGAACAAGAAGGAAACTTTCTTCTCCACTTGTGAGCTCAAATCTGACAGTACCGGATAAACTGTTCAGAGTTTCTGGACAAGCTGTGAGACTTGTCTTCTGGTAATGTAAGACTCATACGAGGTCAGGTTCAGCTTATGTAAGAGAAATTGACGCTTATGCGAATGCTCTTTGCTGGCATCACTTGTATTGGTTTTCCTCCACAAATGAAGGAGGGGGTTTACAATTAAGACGATAAACTGGATCTAAGAGGAACTTGAGTTTATTTCCCCGCTTTCCTGTGAAACTTCTTAGGCTCCTTCATAGTTTTGTTCTAAATTACTTGTCTGTTACAAAGGTAGAATATGGTGTAAATTATAATCAGGCTTTGAATCTCTTCATAATTTTGTTTTCCATTTATGAAACAGGGTTAATAATAGTCCTTATCCCTCCACCTGTTACTTATTGCTTTCATTTAGATTGTGATTTCTTCAAGTTAAAGAGTATATCAAGTGTAAGCTGGGGCCTCCAGAAGTATTCATTAGCATCTATTTATTTTCTTTGAATGAATTTTCTAGTTTGGTTACAGGTAGTTCAGATTTTTCTCAGTATTAGTTTATTAATGTCTAGGAAAAGTTGTTGGTTTGGATCTTGAGCATGGATACTCTCTTCTGATCAGCTCATCTCATGTACCTATGTTATGCTGGAGTACAACTTAAGCAAACCAGCCTTGCTTTACATGAGTGGCTTTCATGCAGAGCTGCTGCACTGCTCTCCCAGCAGTCTCTGATAGCACTTGGTTTGGTGCAGTGCCTTGTGGCTACAGTGCTGCTGACACCAGTGTCAGATAACAGCAAGACAGAACACAGCTGGCTCTACAGGTCTGTGAGTTCTGGGAAGACTAAAAGTCACCTGGCTTCACACATTACACACTACCTTGTTCCAAGAGCTTTTGTGTTAATCTGTTTTCCATTTTTCCCCCATTATCTAGTATTTTCCTTTCCCAGTTGTTCCAGATGAATCACACCCTTGTTGCTTTCATTCAGGTACTGAGAAAGATTCTCATTTACAATCTATGCTATATCAATGCACGCTTAATTTTTTGAAAGTCATAAATATCTCCATAATCCCTGGAAGATAGCTCTTCTGTCATGGGCACTGATTCACAGACCTCATTGCTCCCTGCAGCTTCCTGAGGAGAAGTGGAGAGTGAGGTGCTGCTCTCTTCTCCCTGGTATAGGATAGGATGTATGTGAATGGCTGCACCAGAGGAGGTTCAGACTTGACATTAAGAAACATTTCCTTACAAAGAGGGTGGTCAAACACTGGAACAGGCTTCCTAGAGAAACGGTCAATGGTCCAAGCCTATCAGTGTTTAAGAAGTATTTTGGACAATGCCCTTAATAACAGGCTTTGACTTTTGGTCAGCCCTGAAATGGTCAAGCAGTAGGTCCCTTCCAAATGAACTGTTCTGTTCAGTTCCATTCCATTCTTCAGCTGCCTTGCCTTTGGGATATGTGAGAGGTCCTGCTTCAAATATAACAACACAATAGCCAACCAACAATGCAAGAAATTACCAAGGTGGGAGTGTCTTTCTTTTAAATGCATTTATACATTATTTTAGATGTCAAATCACAGTTGCAGGTTTGTTAGGCTGGAGACTGTATGCCCACTTTTTCACATGTTAAAAAACACCAGTAATGAAGGAAACCTACCACAGTTAAAAGAACAATCTAAGCATCTCAAATTAAGGATGCAGGTGGGATCAGAACTGCCTGTTGACAAAATGTCTATGTTCTGCAGGTTTGTGTCTGTGCTCCTTGCACCCCTTTGAGCTCTGTTCTTAGCTACGCCTGGGGTCAGATCCTTGGGTTAACCTGGTTGCTTATTCGCTAACTTCCACCCTTCCCAAAGCTGACAGTAGCCTATTTGGAGGATTGTTTTATTGCTGCTGCTTTTTTCTACTGCTCTTCCCTTAACTATTTCATTAATCTTTAAAAAACATGACAGTGATTACTGCTCTGTGGTCATTGCTGTCTCAGAGCTCAATTTTAATCGACTTGATTCTGCCACCTTTGCAACAGACTTCTACATTCAGTGTTATGTAGGTGGATTCCTGTTTGTGGGCCTAAGTAAATGAATACTACCTGCGAAACATTTTAGGTGAAGGAAGCTTTGCAGGTAAATGCAAGCTGCTGTTAGAATGTGATGTCCTTCATAACATACGTTACCTTTTTCTGGACTCGATTTTCCTGTCTTGATCACAAAGTTTTCCTCAGTCCTGGTATATGAAATTGCCATATAATGTGGTAATTTTTGGTCTATTGAACAATAACTTTTATACTTAGGGAAACCACAGGGAAATGCTACAAATAAACAATACATTTACATGAACAGTCTCTTCAGAGATAGAGTTCTCCTTATAACTGCCAGCAGTTCTTTTTAGAGTATTTAAGCCTCCTGCAAAGATACAGAAATGAAGAACATCTCAAGCTACAGATGGTTAGACAACCAAGTACACTTCCTTTACAACCCAGTTTCTAAATGTTTTGCTGTGTCTGCTTTCCCTGTACTAAGTAGAATATAGAGCAAGAAAATACAGGATGAGAAAAATGCTATAATGAAGCACGTCTGCACATGCCATCTATAAAACTTGTGATTGTGACTTTTGGCGGAAGTCATTGCTAGACCACTCTCCATCATCTTTACCAAGTCTTGGGAAACGGGAGAGGTGCCTGAGGACTGGAGGAAAGCAAATGTCACTCCAGTCTTCAAAAAGGGCAAGAAGGAGGACCTGGGTAACTATAGACCGGCCAGCCTCACCTCCATCCCTGGGAAAGTGATGGAACACCTTATCCTTGGTGCCATCTTAAGGCATATCAAGGATAAGAGGGTTATGAGGGGCAGTCAACATGGCTTCACCAAGGGGAAATCATGCTTGACCAATCTTTTAGCCTTTTATGAGGAAATAACATGGTGGATGGATGATGGCAGAGTGGTGGATGTGGTCTACCTTGACTTCAGCAATGCATTTGACACAGTCTCCCACAGCATCCTCGCAGCTAAATTGAGGAAGTGTGGACTGGATGATCAGGTAGTGAGGTGGACTGCGAACTGGCTGAAGGAGAGAAGCCAGAGAGTTGTAGTCTATGGGGCGGAGTCTAGTTGGAGGCCTGTAACTAGTGGAGTGCCTCAAGGGTCAGTACTGGGGCTGGTATTATTTAATATATTCATCAATGATTTAGATGAGGGAATTGAGTGTACTATCAGCAAGTTTGCTGATGACACTAAGCTGGGAGGAGTGGCTGACACGCCAGAAGGCTGTGCTGCCATCCAGCGAGACCTGGACAGGCTGGAGAGTTGGGCAGGGAATAACTTGATGAAATATAACAAGGGAAAGTGTAGAGTCCTGCATCTGGGCAGGAACAACCCCAGGTTCCAGTACAGGTTGGGAAACGACCTGTTAGAGAGCAGTGTAGGGGAGAGGGACCTGGGGGTCCTAGTGGACGACAGGATGACCATGAGCCAACACTGTGCCCTTGTGGCTAAGAAGGCCAATGGCATCCTGGGGTGTATTAGAAGGGGGGTGGTTAGTAGGTCGAGAGAGGTCCTCCTTCCCCTCTACTCTGCCCTGGTGAGACCCCATCTGGAATATTGTGTCCAGTTCTGGGCCCCTCAGTTCAAGAAGGACAGGGAGCTGCTGGAGAGAGTCCAGCGCAGGGCAACGAAGATGATTAAGGGAGTGGAGCATCTCCCTTATGAGGAAAGACTGAGGGAGCTGGGTCTCTATAGTTTGGAGAAGAGGAGACTGAGGGGTGACCTTATAAGTGTCTATAAAGATATAAAGGGGGAGTGTCACGAGGATGGAGCCAGGCTCTACTCAGTGGCAAACAATGATAGGACAAGGGGTAATGGGTGCAAACTGGAACACAAGAGGTTCCACTTAAACTTGAGAAGAAACTTCTTCTCAGTGAGGGTGACGGAACACTGGAACAGGCTGCCCAGGGAGGTTGTGGAGTCTCCTTCCCTGGAGACATTCAAAACCTGCCTGGACACATTCCTGTGTAACATTATCTAGGTGTTCCTGCTCCGGCAGGGGGATTGGACTAGATGATCTTTCGAGGTCCCTTCCAATCTCTAGCATACTGTGATACTGTGATAATGTGTGAAAAGTCTTCATTACTTCATTACATTATTTAGAATCTGTGCTGTCATTAAGTAGCCACTTCAGCAGATAGTTGGGTATACTCAAATCTTTTGCAAATTTAAGCTGGGGTTTTCAGGTTCAGAAAATGCTAACAGCACTATCAATAACTCACAATACTCGAGTTATTATTCATATGGTGAGTTTATTGTGAATTAAGAATACAGTGTTTTAATGATACACATGAAGGCTGTCACATATGCACTTTGTTTTTTGTTGTGAACTTGAGAGAAGCACTAATATAAACAGAGAAGCAAATTATTATATACATCTCCTGTCCCAGAAAAATCTTTGAAGCAATTCCACCACTGTGGCAGATCATTCTGTGTATTTAAGTATTCAGTAAATATATACATAAAAATTTATTTATTCACATTTCAATAATTATTCTTTGTCAGAATGTTGTTTGGGTTTGTTTTTGGTATCTTAAAAATGTGAGTTAGTTACATGATTTTTGGTCTTGAATTTATTCTGGTTTTCTTTTAAAATTCTTTTAAGGCTAAATATGACCCACCACAATAATGAAAAAATGAGAAGAGAGGAAGAGGTAAAGAGTTAGTCTCTCTACACTAGTATTTTGTTTTCATTTTGCATTTTAAAATGTTCATGGGATATATATATTACCTTAGCTGAAATAAAGAAAAATATTTTAATAAGAAAGAAAAAGTAGGTCAGAAAGGTCCAAAATCTAAACACGTAAGTGTACTTCTCATAGTACTAGGTTATATTCCATTTTGGAAGTAATCTATAATCTAAACATAATCATGAATAAGTTTTAGGTTTTGCTTAATTTTCAGTTACTAAAAAATTAAGAAAACATTCTTGTCTGTACATGTAGATTATTTTATTTTCATTGAGAATTGAGAAAAGATAATTTTCATTTGGTTTTATCTCCAGGAATATTAGATTGACTATCTTTTTCTTCTTCCAACAAGATTAGTTCAGTTCTTGCTGAAGATGTCACGATAGTTCCAGAAACTGGAACATTAGATGAGAGCACATCAGCTTCAACTGTTTCATCCTCTGTTGTATCTTTAGGTGATAAGCTTTCTTGTGCATCAAAAAATACATCAGGTTTATCTGATGGGCTATCTTCATCTGAGATTCTTCCCTCTCCATGACCCATCTCTTCTTTGTCAACAGTTTTAGCCTTTTTGGAAGGAGATGTGAAACCAAGCTTGGGAAATCTAAACCATCCAGTTTTTTCAGTTTGCTTAGAAGAATCATGACCTGATGTGTCAGCAGGTTTCACTTCTTCTGGAACTAACTTTTTTACTTCTGTTTTTGAATCTGTGCTAGTTTCATCACCAGAAGATGAAAAGCCAATACTTGGAAGCCAAAATTTGAATCTTCCAGGAGATCTTTTACTATCAGTCTTTTCTTTTCCATTGGTTATGTCTTTTTCTTCACCTTCTAGTGCTTCATCTACATCCTCATCTTTAGAGAGAGGATCTGCAGTTATTCCCTGCAGTGATTGACCAGGAAGACTCTCTTCAAGTTTACTGGAAGGCTTTACTTCAACAGCAGATGTTTTTAACTTTGGCAAACTTATTTCTCCAATAGATTCTTCAATCTCACTGTGTAGATTGTCAGATAGTTTAAGCTCAGCACTGTCAGTCCTCCGTGCTGCTCCTCCAAAACTTTCATCAGCATATTTAGATGTGTTCACTGACACACCCTCTGTTGGAGATGGCTGCTGGACTAGCACTTCTAAGTTGCTATGTGATTCAGGCAACTTCACCTTGAGCAATGAGAATCCCAAAGCAGGAGTTTTGACTTCTGATGAGAGAATCTCTGATTCTTTCACTATTTCAGTAGTATAAATCTCACATCTTTCAATAGCAACATGTTCAGGTTCTACTTTCTCACTTGCTTCTTGGCCCTCTACATATGACCAGTGAACATCTTGCCCTGTGTTTGGAAGGGAGGACCCTATGGTAGTAGTCATCTGTGCTGTTTTAATGTCAGGTTCAGTTAGTGTTAGAATTTTGCTTTTTGCTTTTAGAACACTACCCTCTAGAGCCACTGGTATTTCTCTGGGGATATCAGAGCTTTCTTGCAGTTGCACTACTTCAATGTCAGTACTAGATCCCTTTGGATCTGTTACCACTTTTGACACTGAAACATCAGCTTCAATTGGAAGAGCTTTGAAAGTAAACCTTGGTATTTTTAGCTTGGGAATTTTTGTATTTACTTCTGGGTCATCTTGTGATTTGTCTACTGTTATTCTGGCAGATGCTTCCATATGCTCTAGAGATGGACGTTTCAGGCCAATAGATTTTTCTAATTTTTGAAACTGCATCTCTGCTGGGCCTATTTCAGCTTTAGATACTGAATCAGCTTCTGACTTTGGCAAATTGATATCATCTTCAAAACCCTCGACTTCTGAATGCAACACTCCAAACTTTGGAATCTTAAACTTGTATGTTTTAATTTTACTTGTTTCCGCTCTATTTTCTACTTGCACTTGCCCTCCTGCAGACACGTCCTTTTCAACACTTTCCACTTGAAATTTCATTTCAGGATCTACTTTAGCAAATTTAACGTCCATCTTCACTACTGGAACTTCTACCATTAGATCTTCCAGCTTAGCTGTAACATAAGCACCATCTTCTGATCCCTTTGCTGTAGACCACTCACTCACAGGCCTTTTCAATTGGCTTCCTTCACTGTCTTTTCCTGTAATTTTCATCTCACCCTTTATCTTTCCTCGTTTAATTACTGCCTCTTGATTTTGAATATCTAGCTCTTCCTTTGGAAGACTAACATCTATTTTCTCCTGCATTGCATCCAGAGTGTTTTCAGCTGATGATGGTATACATCCTGTTCCTGAAGTCTCTAACTTAGAGGAACTTTCTGCCTTTGGGACTTCTATATCCTGTGATTTGATTTTATGCTCTTGAAGAGTCAGAGTACATGTAGAAAACCTATCTGTTAAACTGTTATCTTTATCAAATTCTGCTGGAGATACCGTGAGTTCTGAAGTATACTTTTTTTGTTCTTCAGCACTGTGCTTAACTATATCTGCATAAGTTTCAGTTTTTGGAATATTCACTGTGCTGTCTACTCTTTCTGTGGACAACAAAATATCTCCTTCCATCTTTGCCAAGCTAACATCAGAACTCTTCACAGAATCTCCTAATTTTGGAATCCCTTCTTTTCCAATAGTCATTTCAGTGACTGCATGTGGTAATGAGAATGGATTTTCAGGAATACTCATTTCAGTTTGTACTTCAGCAGAGGGAATGACTGCCTGAGCTTCTTCCATACATCTTTCGATATAAGCATCACCTTTTTTTTCCTTTAAGGATGTCCTGCCAAATGCAGGTATTTTGAATTTCGGCATTTTAAACCATCCCTGATGTTCTTCAGTCTGACCTTCTTCAGCTTTTATATCATATTCTTCTTTTAATTTGATATATTTCTCCTCAAGGCTCTCAACAGCTCCCTCTGTCATTGGTTTAGACACTGACTGGAGGCTTACATCTACCTTTGGTGCTTTGATGCCAGCTGTCAGAATTTGACAAACACCTACTCCAGGATCTGACATATTAGATGTAAGTTCTGATACTGGAACTCCCGCATCAATGTCAGCAGTTTCCTTTGTCATTTTTAGCTGGGGTACCTCAGCTTCTGTTTTTGGAGAGTTGATTTCTGTCTCTGGGCCTTTCCCTTTTGTTAGGGAAATTCCAAATTTTGGCTTCTGAAATTTGGGCATTTTAATCTTCCCTTCAGCACCTTCCAAATTAATCTTTCTTCCATCCACAACTAATGACTTTTCTGTTATTATTTCAGGGCTCCTCGGTTCTATTGGAGTTTCTCCTTTAGGGAACTTAATACCTGTTTTCTGAATGGTATCTTCATTGGTAGAACTTGATTTTAAGACAAGTTGTTGAAAACTCCCCTCTGAAGGAGGCAGAGCAGCATCGATCTTTGCTGAGCTGACTCTCATTTCAGTTTGGGAGGCTCCAGTTTCTATTTTTGAAAAGTCCAGAGTGGAGATCTTAACATCAGATGGTTTTATGCTTATTTGTGTCCCTTCTTGTGTTCTCTCAAAATCGCTTCTTTCTATATCAGGTGTCTGTATTGAATCATCACCCCCTCTCTCTGTTTCAAGAATAATAGTGTCAGCTTCAACTTTTGGTGAACGAGTATGAGGTTTGGGAACTTTGATCTTGGAGAGTGAAATTTTAGGCATGACAAATTGAGGCTTTTTACTTGGACTTTTCTGTTCAGTTTTTCCTGCAGATATTTCCAGATCAAGGTCTGGCCCACTACCTTGGTCATCAGTTGCAGTTTCTCTCACTTCTGTGTCTATTTTGCTTGACATTGCAGCAAGTTTATGATCTTCCAAATTCACTCCAGAATCCAGTTTAACACTTGTTTCTTTCTTTGGTGACCAACTAAAGGATGGAAGTTTGAATTTTGGCATTTTGAAATGTCCTCCTTCTCCATCTCCATCTTGCCTTCTTTCCCCTTTAGTTTTTAGTACTGCATCTGAATCCTCAATACCAGTGTCTGGTTTTGGAATAGAAATGTCAGCCTCTGATGCCCTATTGTCAGCTTTGGTCATTTTGACTTTAGGGCTGTAAGTTTCTGTTCCTGTACCACATTCCACCTCCCATTTTGGTGCTTCAATAGCAATGTCAGCTATTTCTACCATTGGTTTTAGTTGAGGAACCTTGACTTCTGATTTGGATTTTCTGACCTCCTTTTCTGACCCTTTCCCTTTAGAATCTGTAATTCCAAATTTTGGCATTTGGAATTTAGACATTTTTGTTCTCCCTTCAGCACCTTCCATTTTTATTTCTACATCACCCATAGCAATTTCACTTGATGTTCTTTCAACACTTGTGTCAAGACTCTTCACCTCAAGGGAGCCTTCAGTTGTCATCTTAATATCCGAGGGGGAGAGGCTGGCATTAGCAGCGGCAGATTTCAATGTCAAGTCATTTTCTTCACATGTAGGAAGTATGACCTCACCTGTAGGCATACCCATCTCTATTTTGGGAGCTCTGATTTCTGCTTTGGAAAATTCTGAAGCTGGGACTGTAATTTTTGTCATTTTTATGTCCAGTTCTGCCCCTTCTACACTACTTCCTTTCTCAGATTCCTGTACTGAAACACCTTTTTTCTCTTGTTTGGGACCACAAGTGTCAGTTTCCAGTACAGGCAGAGACACCTGGACTCTCTGACCTTTAATTTTAGGGAATGAGATCTTTGGCATGGTAAACTGAGACTTCTTGATTCTGCCCTTTCCACCATCTTTTTCTATTGATGTGTCAAATTGTGCATGAAGGTTTTGATTCTCAGGGGTAAGAAATATTAATTCAGATTCTGTGTCTTGAGACAGAGTAGACAAAGCTGGTTCTTGCAGATGTCCTTCCACTTCAGAAGGAGCAATAGCTTCTTTCTTTGGTGACCAACTAAACGACGGGAGTTTGAATTTTGACTTTTTAACTTTGTTTTCTTTCTCCCCAGTGTCCATCTCTCCTGAAAATACTTCCTGTTCTGCCTTGCATTCTAAATCTGGGCCATCGATTTCCACTTCTAGTTTTGGCATGCCAACTTCCATTGATGGGAGACTGACATCCAACCTGGGTGCATTTAGAACAATTTCAGGTGAAGGCTTGTGCATCTTTCCGCCAAACTCAGCATCACAGATCTGAGTTAGTTTGTCAATATCAGCCATATCAGCTGTTGTGCTTTCCCTGGAAATTTCAGATTCCACTTTGGAACCAATGTCACTTACTGATGGTTTTCCCACGGACAAAGAAAATCCAAATTTTGGTCTTTGAAATTTAGGAATTTTAACTGTAAACTCTGTGTCATCTACAGGTATTTCAGCAGATGGTAGTTTACATCCTGGCTTCAGAGTTCCTTGCTCCAAAGAAGCATTTTCACTTAAAAATTCAAAATCTGTTACTGAAATATTCTCATCAGCAAGAGATGACATTTTGGACTCAGATTCTACTAGATTCATTTGATATTTGGTAAGAGTAATATCACCTTTTGGTAATGGGGAATCCTGCTCATATTTGGAAGAACCAATATCAAGTTTGGAGAAACCCAAGACAGGAATTCGTAACATTGTATTTTTAGAGCAAATAACTCCCTTATTAACAGTAGGAACATCAGCTCCAACACTACCTGAAATAACAGCAGGAGTATGCTCTGTTACAGAATAATAAAGAGAAATTTTGCCGGCAGCCACCTCCAGGCCGCTTTCGGCGTCAGGACCCTGCACGGCGGCTTCGCCCTCCGGGGCTTCGGCCTGAGCCTTGGGAAGCGAGGCCTCGCCCTTTGGCAGGCTGACCTGCACGTGGGGAGCTTTGACTTTGGGCAGCTTGACGCTGGGCATCTTGACGTCGGGCATCTTAAATCGGCCTTTCTCAGCGTCCCCTGCGGCGCCCGTCTCGACTGTCACCTCCACACCGGGCGCTTGGATCTCGGCCGCGGGCAGGCTCACGTCGACCTCGGCGCTTCCCGAGGCCACCGTCACGTGGGGCTCCTTGAGGCTGACGTCCACGTCAGCGGCCACGGTGCCCTTGGCCTCTCTGCTGCTGGACCAGCCGAAGGACGGCATGCCGAACTTGGGCATCTTGAACTTGCCGTCCTTGGTCTTCACGGCCTCCTTCTCTGGGGCTTTGGCTTCTCCTTCGAGGCTGACGGCTGCCTCGGGCGCCTGCAGCTCAACGCTGGCCTTTGGAAGGGTGACGTCGACAGATGGGAGGCTGATGTCCGCCTTGGGAGCTTTGATGTCCGCTTTGGGCATTTTGAGGGAGGGCTTCTCCAGCTTCCAGCCGGCCCCTTCGCTTTTGCCGCTGGGGACGTCGGCTTTGAGGCCCAGCGCGGTGCCCTCCCCTGCGGCCGTCACAGTGGCGGACGGGAGGTCGACCTGTGCGGTGGGCAGGCTGACCTGGCCGTCGAGCGCCTCCGCCTTGGGGGGCGACACTCCGAATTTGGGCTTGTCGAACTTGGGCATCTTTAACTTTCCTTTCAGGCCTGTGGTTTCCAGCTCAGCCACGTCGAGGGAGCCTTCGGCAGAGGGGGCTTTCAGGTCTATGTCAGGCGCCTGGAGCTCAACGGAGCCTTCCACGGAGGGCAGCTTGATGTCGGCGGCCGTGACGCTGATGTCGCCAGCCTTGAGGCCAGCCTCCGGGAGGCTGACGTCGACTTTGTCCAGTGAGACGTCTGCGTCCAGTTTGGGAGCCTTGACGGTCGGCTTGGAGAAGACGACGCTGGGCACCTTGACTTTCGGCATGTGTATTTTCATGCCGCCGCTCTCAACTTTGCCGGCAGCCACCTCCAGGCCGCTTTCGGCGTCAGGACCCTGCACGGCGGCTTCGCCCTCCGGGGCTTCGGCCTGAGCCTTGGGAAGCGAGGCCTCGCCCTTTGGCAGGCTGACCTGCACGTGGGGAGCTTTGACTTTGGGCAGCTTGACGCTGGGCATCTTGACGTCGGGCATCTTAAATCGGCCTTTCTCAGCGTCCCCTGCGGCGCCCGTCTCGACTGTCACCTCCACACCGGGCGCTTGGATCTCGGCCGCGGGCAGGCTCACGTCGACCTCGGCGCTTCCCGAGGCCACCGTCACGTGGGGCTCCTTGAGGCTGACGTCCACGTCAGCGGCCACGGTGCCCTTGGCCTCTCTGCTGCTGGACCAGCCGAAGGACGGCATGCCGAACTTGGGCATCTTGAACTTGCCGTCCTTGGTCTTCACGGCCTCCTTCTCTGGGGCTTTGGCTTCTCCTTCGAGGCTGACGGCTGCCTCGGGCGCCTGCAGCTCAACGCTGGCCTTTGGAAGGGTGACGTCGACAGATGGGAGGCTGATGTCCGCCTTGGGAGCTTTGATGTCCGCTTTGGGCATTTTGAGGGAGGGCTTCTCCAGCTTCCAGCCGGCCCCTTCGCTTTTGCCGCTGGGGACGTCGGCTTTGAGGCCCAGCGCGGTGCCCTCCCCTGCGGCCGTCACAGTGGCGGACGGGAGGTCGACCTGTGCGGTGGGCAGGCTGACCTGGCCGTCGAGCGCCTCCGCCTTGGGGGGCGACACTCCGAATTTGGGCTTGTCGAACTTGGGCATCTTTAACTTTCCTTTCAGGCCTGTGGTTTCCAGCTCAGCCACGTCGAGGGAGCCTTCGGCAGAGGGGGCTTTCAGGTCTATGTCAGGCGCCTGGAGCTCAACGGAGCCTTCCACGGAGGGCAGCTTGATGTCGGCGGCCGTGACGCTGATGTCGCCAGCCTTGAGGCCAGCCTCCGGGAGGCTGACGTCGACTTTGTCCAGTGAGACGTCTGCGTCCAGTTTGGGAGCCTTGACGGTCGGCTTGGAGAAGACGACGCTGGGCACCTTGACTTTCGGCATGTGTATTTTCATGCCGCCGCTCTCAACTTTGCCGGCAGCCACCTCCAGGCCGCTTTCGGCGTCAGGACCCTGCACGGCGGCTTCGCCCTCCGGGGCTTCGGCCTGAGCCTTGGGAAGCGAGGCCTCGCCCTTTGGCAGGCTGACCTGCACGTGGGGAGCTTTGACTTTGGGCAGCTTGACGCTGGGCATCTTGACGTCGGGCATCTTAAATCGGCCTTTCTCAGCGTCCCCTGCGGCGCCCGTCTCGACTGTCACCTCCACACCGGGCGCTTGGATCTCGGCCGCGGGCAGGCTCACGTCGACCTCGGCGCTTCCCGAGGCCACCGTCACGTGGGGCTCCTTGAGGCTGACGTCCACGTCAGCGGCCACGGTGCCCTTGGCCTCTCTGCTGCTGGACCAGCCGAAGGACGGCATGCCGAACTTGGGCATCTTGAACTTGCCGTCCTTGGTCTTCACGGCCTCCTTCTCTGGGGCTTTGGCTTCTCCTTCGAGGCTGACGGCTGCCTCGGGCGCCTGCAGCTCAACGCTGGCCTTTGGAAGGGTGACGTCGACAGATGGGAGGCTGATGTCCGCCTTGGGAGCTTTGATGTCCGCTTTGGGCATTTTGAGGGAGGGCTTCTCCAGCTTCCAGCCGGCCCCTTCGCTTTTGCCGCTGGGGACGTCGGCTTTGAGGCCCAGCGCGGTGCCCTCCCCTGCGGCCGTCACAGTGGCGGACGGGAGGTCGACCTGTGCGGTGGGCAGGCTGACCTGGCCGTCGAGCGCCTCCGCCTTGGGGGGCGACACTCCGAATTTGGGCTTGTCGAACTTGGGCATCTTTAACTTTCCTTTCAGGCCTGTGGTTTCCAGCTCAGCCACGTCGAGGGAGCCTTCGGCAGAGGGGGCTTTCAGGTCTATGTCAGGCGCCTGGAGCTCAACGGAGCCTTCCACGGAGGGCAGCTTGATGTCGGCGGCCGTGACGCTGATGTCGCCAGCCTTGAGGCCAGCCTCCGGGAGGCTGACGTCGACTTTGTCCAGTGAGACGTCTGCGTCCAGTTTGGGAGCCTTGACGGTCGGCTTGGAGAAGACGACGCTGGGCACCTTGACTTTCGGCATGTGTATTTTCATGCCGCCGCTCTCAACTTTGCCGGCAGCCACCTCCAGGCCGCTTTCGGCGTCAGGACCCTGCACGGCGGCTTCGCCCTCCGGGGCTTCGGCCTGAGCCTTGGGAAGCGAGGCCTCGCCCTTTGGCAGGCTGACCTGCACGTGGGGAGCTTTGACTTTGGGCAGCTTGACGCTGGGCATCTTGACGTCGGGCATCTTAAATCGGCCTTTCTCAGCGTCCCCTGCGGCGCCCGTCTCGACTGTCACCTCCACACCGGGCGCTTGGATCTCGGCCGCGGGCAGGCTCACGTCGACCTCGGCGCTTCCCGAGGCCACCGTCACGTGGGGCTCCTTGAGGCTGACGTCCACGTCAGCGGCCACGGTGCCCTTGGCCTCTCTGCTGCTGGACCAGCCGAAGGACGGCATGCCGAACTTGGGCATCTTGAACTTGCCGTCCTTGGTCTTCACGGCCTCCTTCTCTGGGGCTTTGGCTTCTCCTTCGAGGCTGACGGCTGCCTCGGGCGCCTGCAGCTCAACGCTGGCCTTTGGAAGGGTGACGTCGACAGATGGGAGGCTGATGTCCGCCTTGGGAGCTTTGATGTCCGCTTTGGGCATTTTGAGGGAGGGCTTCTCCAGCTTCCAGCCGGCCCCTTCGCTTTTGCCGCTGGGGACGTCGGCTTTGAGGCCCAGCGCGGTGCCCTCCCCTGCGGCCGTCACAGTGGCGGACGGGAGGTCGACCTGTGCGGTGGGCAGGCTGACCTGGCCGTCGAGCGCCTCCGCCTTGGGGGGCGACACTCCGAATTTGGGCTTGTCGAACTTGGGCATCTTTAACTTTCCTTTCAGGCCTGTGGTTTCCAGCTCAGCCACGTCGAGGGAGCCTTCGGCAGAGGGGGCTTTCAGGTCTATGTCAGGCGCCTGGAGCTCAACGGAGCCGTCCACGGAGGGCAGCTTGATGTCGGCGGCCGTGACGCTGATGTCGCCAGCCTTGAGGCCAGCCTCCGGGAGGCTGACGTCGACTTTGTCCAGTGAGACGTCTGCGTCCAGTTTGGGAGCCTTGACGGTCGGCTTGGAGAAGACGACGCTGGGCACCTTGACTTTCGGCATGTGTATTTTCATGCCGCCGCTCTCAACTTTGCCGGCAGCCACCTCCAGGCCGCTTTCGGCGTCAGGACCCTGCACGGCGGCTTCGCCCTCCGGGGCTTCGGCCTGAGCCTTGGGAAGCGAGGCCTCGCCCTTTGGCAGGCTGACCTGCACGTGGGGAGCTTTGACTTTGGGCAGCTTGACGCTGGGCATCTTGACGTCGGGCATCTTAAATCGGCCTTTCTCAGCGTCCCCTGCGGCGCCCGTCTCGACTGTCACCTCCACACCGGGCGCTTGGATCTCGGCCGCGGGCAGGCTCACGTCGACCTCGGCGCTTCCCGAGGCCACCGTCACGTGGGGCTCCTTGAGGCTGACGTCCACGTCAGCGGCCACGGTGCCCTTGGCCTCTCTGCTGCTGGACCAGCCGAAGGACGGCATGCCGAACTTGGGCATCTTGAACTTGCCGTCCTTGGTCTTCACGGCCTCCTTCTCTGGGGCTTTGGCTTCTCCTTCGAGGCTGACGGCTGCCTCGGGCGCCTGCAGCTCAACGCTGGCCTTTGGAAGGGTGACGTCGACAGATGGGAGGCTGATGTCCGCCTTGGGAGCTTTGTATCTGCTGGTTCTGTTGTGCTTTCTTCTCTTGGTATTTTCCTGTCAGTTTTTGGTGTTTTTTTAATTTTTAATGACGGCATTTGTATTTTCCAAGTAGAAAGTTCTGATTCTGCATCAGGCATGTTAGTTTTCATACCCAAATTCCTGCTGTCCTCTGAACTCATATCAGCTGTTCTTTCTGGTACTGAATGTGGAAAATCACTTCCCAGCTTGGTCTTTTTAGTCTCTGCTTCTTTTAATTTGGTCATTGAAATCTCAAATTTTGGTTGCTTAATTGTCAATATTTGTGTGTCTTCTGCTTGTTTTTCATTTGTTTCCAGTGTGTCAGTTGTGTGTAACTCTGCTCTAGCAGCTATTTCTAGACCTTTTACCTGTATAGATTCTTGTGCTCTGTGTCCCATCATGTCTATGTTAATTCCGATTTTTTCTTCTGTTTTATCTGCTATTCCTTTCTGTTTCTTTTTTCGGGATTTTGAGGAGGCTGTTAGTACTTGTTTAGTTGGGCTTTCTTTCAGATCAGGTGTTTCTAAACTGGGCTTTGATATCTGTGTTGTTATAGCTGATACTTCAGGTACGGTAAATTTTGATGTTGAGTCCTTGTCTTTTTTAATGCTTATTTCTACTTCAGGGCACTTTTTTGCATAAGATGGAATGCCATTTTGCATATCATTTAAGTCTTTTGTTAAAGTTTCATGTACCTCTGCTGTTTTAGTTTTGTAAGCAGGCAATGTGGTATATTCAACAGTTACAATTTCAGGATTTTCCAGGCTGATATCTTCTTTATGTATTTTCTCTCTTTCATTTAACAGCGTAGTTTTTATTTCTTTTTTTGGCCTGTCTTGAGGTTCTGGTTTGGATCTCTGCATTTTGAATCCAATGCTTGGGAACTTCAGTTTCTTTTGGCTTCCTTTTTTTTCTCTGATGTGGACTTCTTGTTGAAATTGAGACTCTGTGTCTGTGCTTGTAGGGGAAATATCCTGTATACCAGACTCATATGCATCTGATGTACTATGAGATCTCCTGTGCCCCAGTATCTTTTTACTTTTGATTGACTGGAATTTTGGCCATGACAATCTATCTTTTTTAGGTCTCTTGCTTCTTCCTACCCTTTGGCTTACAATTAATGTTTCCCTGTCTTCTTCTGAAATGTCTTTTCCTGAAACATGCAGTGTTTCTTCAGGAATGCTGTCACTGAGTTCTTTTTGCTGAAAGAATAATTAGTAATCAGAAGATTAAAACTAAACTAAATATAGATTCGACATGAAATAAAATACATATTATACAATACATAGATGTACTTTTTATTCACAGTATCTGGTTGTTATATAAAAAAAGTGAAATATATATAAAATACATGAGAATGTTGTATATAATTCAGGCAGAAATTACATTTTAAAAATGGATTATATGCCTGTAATATATGGATTTCTGAAGGTTACGTTCTTTGCAAAACATTGCAGTAAATAGAGGTTTCTAGATGTATCTTTATGTATGTCTGTACAAATATATATATATCACATTTATATGTATATGAAGAGAAAAATAATTTTGAGTGTGATGGAACCTATGAGCAGATCATGCCTAAACAGATACCAGTGGCTAAACACACTTTTAAGAAAAAAAAAAATCATTTATGAGCTTTTGAGAAAAATATTTACTGTTATTTTACATTTTGGACAATACTGAATATAAATATTAGAGAACTTATCTCAGCCTGTTCTATCAATGGACATTTAACAACAACAAAAAGTGATTCCTCACTAGAGAATGTTTTTTCCGCCCTAGCACAAGATTGTGACTTTATCGAAAACCTCTAGCTTTCCTAGGATATTGAAAAAGCTGCAAATATTATGTGGGAATTTTTTCTTCTCATGAACATTCATGCTAGTGAGTTTAAGCACATATCTAAGTATTATTATTAAGCATTATATCTAAGTGTGTATTTTCTGGTCTATTTCTACATTACTAAAGTGTTAGCCAATTTTTTTAAACTGATCAATTATCTACCTGGTTTCTTCTTTCCTTTTTGTACTGGGCTGTAGAGTGAGTGTGTTCTAACTCTTCTTTCCCAGCAATTTTTCTTTTGAGGCTGAATTGGACTCTGTATGGCTCGGAATACTGGAGAATCTTGAGTGCATCTTCATACTTGATATTATCGAAAAATATCGTAGCACTTAGAAGCTGATCACCTGCAAGTGGAATCAAACATCATTTTATGCAGTTTTTCAAATTCTGTTGAATTAATTCACACACAAAAAAAATCACATCCTATTTATTTAGAGTATAAAATTATGTTCACATAAGAGAATCACAGAATAGCTAAGTCCTCTGAAAAGGACCTCTGGAGATCATCTAGTCCAGCTGCCCTGCTCAGGGAACAGTTAGCTACAGCCAGTTGCTTAGGTCTGTGTGCAGTCAGGTTTTGAATATTCCCAAGGATGGTAACTTACAACCTTCCTAGAAATCTTGATCCAGTGACTGAACACCATGATAGTAACAGTTTTTTATTACATTTTTCAATATTTAGACTTTGGACTTTCGTTTTTGTTTAAATCATTATTTATTGTAGTTTTGTGGCATATTATTTTGTGAAAGAATTGAAGGTAGGTTCTTCATGAATGTTATGATTTGGGTTGTTGGGGTTTGGTTTTTTTCATTTTAGTTGTGTATATATTAATTTCTATGTATCTTTTTCACTCTCAGTAAAAATTTGGTGGGTTTTTTTTTCATGGTATAAAAAAAAAAAATCACATTATTAAGAAACTGATCTTTGAAATTATTAATATGGAAAGGTTAAGCTCACACATAACATTAGTTGGTTTAGGATCTACTATTTCTATTACCCAAAGAGATGGGATATCAGGTAGGCATCTATACGCACACACAGCTACATACCTGATTATTTTAAAATATATTAAAACAAAAAACAAAAACAAAAAACAAACACCAAAAAAAAAAAACCAGAAAATCAGACTGTACCTTCTCTCAGGCTAAATATTTTTGAAGCAGGAGACTCTTTCAGTACTTTTTTAATAAATATTCCTTCATTTTCTCCACCTATCACACTAAAACCACTAGCACCAGCTTCCACTTCTGTTTTCAGGGTCACTTCCATTGTCTCCTAGATACAGAAAAAGATGTGAATTTATAATTTTTATTCATTTGTATCAGTGTTCTATGTTAGTATAAAAAATGAATCTCCTAAGTATATTTTTAGTAGCTCAATAAAGATTATCTAAAATAGAGAATGTACTTGTTCATTGAAGGTTTGATTCTCTTCTACATTAGAGCTAAACACGTGTTAGGGTTATGCTAGATCAGGGGTATAAGGAAAATAAATTACAATTTTAAAATGTGATACATATAGAATCTTTTAGGGCTGAAAGATTGTATTTTCTGTGAATATGTTAAACCTGAATTAGAATAAATGGGCCAGAAAAGTCAGACTAAGAGCTAATTCTGTACTATACTCAAACCAGAGAAGGCCAAATAATACTAAAAAGGATTATGAAAATATCGCAATAGGACAAGTGTTCACGTCTGTTCCACAACTAGGCAATTTGTGAAGTTCCTGGTCAAAACAAGTCTAAAGTGATTCTCTCCCCATTTGTCTTTCCCTCTGTCCACCCATCCACATCTGTGTGTTGTAATAGACCTTAATATTTTGCAAGCCACATGCCTAAAACTACAGAGTGCTATTATACCAACCTCTGGATGACTCTGTTTTGATTTATCTGTAGAATACTTCTTTTTTTCTTCTTGAAGCTGAAAACCAATTTGCAATTATTTAGCATTCAGAAGTCATGCTGTTGTAAAGTAGAACAAAAGTCCAAAAATCAGTTAAAATTCCTGGTTTACACTAAGAACTCAGGCTGACTTTACTGGCAACAAAGCAAAACTGGCATCTACAAGTGCAACATACAACATGAATTATTTAACTATATTATTCCCAGTAGTAAATTAGATGCTAAGACCTCCACGCATTGTACCAAAATTTGCATGAATGAATGCCAGAGGCCAATTATATTAATACATTTGGGAGCTTTTCTGTATGTAACTCATGTAGCATATTTCTATGCTTTGATCTTTGTGAACATATATTTTTTTCATTTATTTGTCTTGCCTTTAAATATTCTTCTTCTATGGGATATTCATAAACTGGAGAGGATCCTTGTGGCCTTGGACGGATGTCTTCTACTGCCACTTCATTAACCTGTGCAAAAGAAATGAGTGGAGGGAATGGAACGTAAACTATTAAACAGTGACAAATTTTTTTAGGAGAGGTTTTTATTTAGGCATAGTCTCCTTCTTTGTACAAATCTCTCAATAATGATGAATGTAGAATAACCAGTAACTCTTTTCTTAGGTTAAGAACAAATACGTCTCTCATTTAATGATGTTACCCAAGAACACAGAGACTTCTGGGAAACAAAAACAATGGTGTGCTGATTTTGGTTTTCATTCTGTATTGTATGCATCTGTGGGCTGAACAGACTGAAAATACCGACAGACCAACTAGTAAAAATTTTAAAAGGCAATAAAAATTCTCTCCTCTGCTTTATTTGTACACCTAACTTTCCCATCCTGCAGCTTCAAACTCTACTGCCCTCTAAAACTACACAAATGTCGGAAGAGTCCCGTCAGAAATTTCTGCTGACAAGCACTTGACATGCTTCCTTCTGAAGTCAAATGACAGGGAACCCAAACCAGCCAAAGCTTTAAAGAAAAGTTACTGTAGTCAACAGTAATGTAATTGCATGTAATAGTTTGTTAAGTCTTGGTATTAAACGTATGCTGGTGAATCATGGCAAAGCGCAGATCACTTTACATTGGAGCATCATTCTGGCTTTTGAGCTGGCAGAAGTATTCCAAGCAAAAATAAAGCATTTTTGATGGGGAGAGAAATCACCAGCAAGACCCAGCTATAAACAAAATATTTAAGATCCCGTTTTAGCAAAGTAACTGCCACAACCCCCCCAAAGTAACTGCCAAATCCCCCCCCCCCCATACACCTAACTGTATAAAACTCACAGAATCTTCATCCTCTGCATCCGCATCACCATCTCCTAGAGGCTCAGCTGGTCTCAGCTGTTGTCCAGAACCTGAAAGCAGCATACTGGTTATTGATGTCTGCAGGAGCCATACAGAGCACAGAGCAGTCAGCCTGCAAGCTGAAGCTCTCTGGGGCAGCACACCCAGGGGATGTGCATGGGCTAGCTGTAGAAAGGCATGCTTTCATTTAGATTCACAGAATCATAGAATGGGTTGGGTTGGAAGGGACCTTAAAGGCCACCTAGTTCTAAACCCCGCCACCTCTCACTAGACCAAGTTGCTTAAAGCCCTGTCCAACCTTGCCTTGAACACTTCCAGGGATGGAGAATCCACAGCTTCCCTGGGCAACTTGTTCCAGGGTCTCAGATCTCATCAGGCTGATCTTTCCAAAGATACCAGAAATGGTCATATTCAGACATGTAAAGACTTTTGTGAAGGAGAAAATCCCCAGAAAAATGTAGAACTAGAAGTTGGACAGATTTTTCGTTTGTGTTTTTTTTTTTTTTTTGTTACCAATTGGGGATTGAGGTGTTTATGGGGCAGAATTGGCAGGGTTTTGACAGGGTGTGGCTGTGGGGTGGTCTCTGTGGGAGGAGGCCACAGACCGCACTGTGAACATGTTTAAGAAAGAGTGGTAAAGGCCGAGAAGAAGCAGTAGAAGAAGAAGAGAAAGACAGAGAAGACCACACCAGAGCAGGAGGAGAAAGAAGAGATGGCAGAGCAGGAGAAATGATGAAGCAAAATATGATCCTGAGTAGGGGCTAGAGGAAGAAAAGCTGACCAAGCAAAGGCAGAGAGGAGAAGGCTTGACTCTTGTGGGTCAGCAGATGCTAGAGGAACCTAACCTGGGTCAACTGAACTCAAAGCAAGGAGTGGAAAAAGAAAAGCAGCCACCATCTGCTGACCCCAATCTCCTGCACCAGCCCTCATGTCCCCAGAGAAACTGAGTGTAGCCCACAGTGAGGTTATTGGAGACCAGAAAGAGCAGAGATGTACATGAGCAGAGATGTACAGGAGCTGTGGTGTTTTTCCTTACATATTTTTTTTGTTTGTTTTTTAGTTTCAGAGGCAGTAATTAGAAATTCATTAATTGCCGTTAAATTTATTTAAATTTCCCATCTTGAAACTCTTCCTTGATTCTGACAGAGGTCTTATGACCTGGAGAGTAAACATCATGAAGACGTTATAGTCCATAAAGATTTTGCTTTCTTGGTTTTTAAAAGTATTAAGGGCAGACAGAGATGAGGTTAAGGTGATTGACTGTCGAGAGCATGATTCTCTTGACACGTATTAAATTGGGCACAGAATAATGAAAGCAGCATGAATGCATCATCATTTTCAGATATTCGGGCTTAGCCAGTAGAGGACACTGTGGCAGAATTACACATTCCCTGATGCACAGGCTATTCTAATACAAGCATAAGTCCTTGTCCTGATAACTATGTCTCTTTACTGCCTCCATGCTTCAATTTTTTCAAGCCATCAGGCTGTCTAGCTCTCTCACACCCAGTTGTGCAACTGTCATTAATACATATAGTTTTGGCTCTCCTAAACAGATCATGTGGCTTAAAAATATGCTCAAACACTAGAGAAGACAGCCACAAGCAGAACTGCGCAACTCAGTCATTGTCTACTTTAAATGAAGAATCCTTGGGCTGGAACACAACGTTTCTGGATGTGGATATTATATGCTGTGTGTGCAGACAAGCTGGCACAACTTACGCATCTATGCAATCACTGTAACTTACACAAGCTGCCAAGCTCTTGCTTGCCAAGTTAGAATGGCTGTGATTTTGCTAGTCTTTCTTCATACTTTTCCAATCTACGTTTATTTTCTTCCTTGACTTTTCTGAAGATTAAATTATTTAGTACAGGCAGGGTTTAAAATAAGTTATGCCACGTCATCAGCGATGGACCACTTTGTTAAGATGAACGGATATAGTGTGCTTCCAGTGGGGATACCCCACATCAGTCTGTGGGATAAGTTTCCAAACTCGACAGAATAGAAGACATCTTCATTAGCTATACATACATCATCTTAATCGGCTCTCCTGGTTGTATTTTAGCTCCAGAGAACTAGGATCATCTGAGAAAACATCAGGACTGCCAGATCATGCCTCTTTTAGCCTTCACAGAGCTAGTCCTGATGCCTACAATGGACAATTCTAGAAAATGATCTTAAGGCAGACCCCAATTCAGATTAAAGACCTGCATAAATCAGATTGGCTTGTTCTGTTGTTGGGGTTTTGGTTTGGGTTTTTTGGTTGTTGGTGGGTTTTCCTTCCAAAATCTTCAGCATTTACAATATTTAATATCTCAACAAAATTGGAAAATGACCATGACCTTGTTAAAAAATTTACATATGGATTTCTGAACCTGAATTTAAGCATTTTTGCCTGAAAATGCTAGAATCCACTTGTGAATCTGCTCACCACATGTGTTTTAGTAAGCATCATATGAGGAGAAAAGCTGCAGAACTGAGGCTTGGTTGTTTAATTTGCTTATTGCTAGTAAAGATTCAGGTGCCAGCAGAAAATTCTCTAGCTGTTACTAAAATTCCAAGAGATAGCAAAGACTTAGTCTTGTGGCATTACCGTATTTTTCACTTGGGAGAATCCCACCCACAAGCCCTGCGATCCAGTAGAATGACTTAACAGAATTGCTACAGCATTTGCTCTTCTGTGCTTAGCACTTCAAAGATAACTACAGCAAAGATCCCTGGTGGCTGCCAATAATTCTGCTACTGGAAGAGAAAAAGGAAAGAATTATCTGGGAGAATTCTTGGGCTGGTTCACTGCTGTTTCTCTTGTTTTATTGTGGTGTAACTTCAGTGATATTTTAGTTGTCTGGAACTTCGGTAAGGCAAATACGAGGTGCTCCGTTCTCAGGACTTGGATGGTCCTGTGTAGCTTCTGTTATTGCTTTTTTACCATCCAGTGGGCCATACCCTTTGAGCCTATCCTACAGGTTCTAACAGAAGTGAAACTTTTAAAAGCAGATGTTTTAAACAAAAGAATGAGTAGGTAACCAACCTAATTTCAAAATCTTCCTGTTGTTAATATCCGGCTACTCATAAAATCCAAGAGAATTAGATTACTTCCTGCAGTGATACCTGAACACTTGCTTCCCATTGGGATGACATTTTAAAGCAACAAACAACACTGCCAACTCTTGGTCAGTGTGAATGTAGAGAGATAGACCTGGTCATCTCATCTGGGTCTGGACCAGGAGAGAAGTTTCTTAATTGTCACCAGCTGTTGATCAAGCAAAGCCACGGGTGTATGAGGCATTATGGTGGCTTCACATGCTTGGCCAAACATTGGCAGGCAATTGCTCTGCCTGTCCTTGCTAGAGGGGCTGCAGATCGAGGTTTGCCAAAATGTCACCAGAAACCCCCCCTGCTGTTAAGAGGAAAACTGCAATCTTAAAAGGTCTCGCTCACCATCACCATGATGGGTAGGAAGCGACAGAGTGCTGTGAAAGCCTTTAGTAAACTGTTACCTCTCGTAAATTACTATAGTAGGACTCTTTCTTACAAAATCAAGCAACAGTTTACTATCCCCAGGTGTTGCAGAATGGCTCTAAGAGCAAGGCCATGGATCCTTAGAGGCCTTGTGCGAGCAAAGCAAGGGGTAGGCCTCACAGGTAACCGGAAACCGGATGTGGGAGGAGAATGTGAAGGAAGCTGTGTAGAACTGACCAATACTGTTGTGCCTAGGAGGCGTGGCTAAATACCACGCCCATATAAGTGAACTGCGCCACAAATAAAGTAGAAGTTTGCT